AGGAGGAAGGGTGGTGGCTCTGGGGGTCGGGGGCGGTGGGGAAGGAGCCGCCGTAGTGGTGGCCAGTTTTCTCATCACCTTCACCCGACTCTCTCTGGTTGGTGGGACTTGTGCTCTCCTTGGGTCTTCCTTCCTCTTCTCGCTGCCCAGGCTTGGCCTTCCTGCTCCTCCTCCACCACCGTTCCCCTCCTCCACCACCTGGCCCTCTACACCAGAGGCCTTACATTTGGGGACAAACCCCTTCTGCCTGATCTTCTCTATCCTGCGGATGGGGCTCCGGTCGATGACCTCATACATAGCCTCCAGCCTGACCGGGTAAGGGTAGCGCTCTTCCACCTGCAGCGTCTTCTTCAGCAGTACCATGCCAAACTTGCCCTTTTCCAGCTTCAGGAAGCTCATCAGCTTTGGGATGAGGTTGGGGTCCAGGGGCTGCTCCAGGATCTGGCCCTCGCTCGTGATCCTTCGTACCTTGCCCCCTTCCTCACCTGCCTCGTGGAACAGCACAATCTGCTGGATGTGCCTTTCCGCCAGCTCGCAATACACATCATCCTTCAGGAGGCTCATCATCAGGCGGTAGTAGCCTTCCGAAGCATGTGGGGCCGAGATAACCCACAGCCTGTTCTTCCCTGCAAAGCTGGAAAGGATGTTGGGAGAGCTGGACCCAGAGGGGAAACGCAACATTCTTGACCGAGCTGAGGACCCCTCATCTCGGACCATCTCACGGGGAGAGCTCCTGGCTGTTGGTCTCTGCTCAGGTCTCACGAGGGCCCCATTGATGCCTAAGGGGACTGGCAGTGCCGTTGGGCGAGCTAGTCTCAATATTGGCACACTCCTCCTTCTTTGGAGAGGCTGAAGCTTTGGTTCTTCCAGGGTGGATCTCTCAATTCCACGAGATCTCCCCGTGTGCCTCAGAAACCGAACTGGCCGACCACTGACTGAGAAAACCAAAGGCACTTTCCGCCCTCCGTGGTTCCCTCTATTTGTGGCCTGGGGGTGGGGTTCTGATCCACACACCAGCCACATTGCCAACAGCATGGTGAAACGGGGTCCCATTCTCCACGTCATTGTGTAATCCGCTTTCAAAGGCAGCAGGGTCATGGGCAGAAAGGGGAGGAGAAAAAAAAAAAAAAGAAAGAAAGAAAATTATTTAATTGCAAACAGAGCTGGTCATTTTCTCTTTCTCTATCTTGGCCAAGGGGGAGGGGGAGGAGTGGTTAGAGAAGACGGAGAGAGGTCAGGGAATGGAAAATATGGTGAGATCTCGTTGCTTTTAATCCCCTGTAATTTGTCAGTGCTTAACCGGGACAGTTACATTAAGCAGGAAATCCAACTCAGTTCCTGGTCGGCTGCTTGCACTATTTCAACTCTCTGGATGCTCCAGAGAAAATGTGAACTGAACATATTAATTATGACAACATTCTCAATTCATTTCTTCAAATAAGCAACAAAGAAGCAAACAAACACACCAGAGACAGAAAGAAAGGATTACACACTTACATTGTGGCTCATAGAGATGGAATGTAGAGGGTTTCAAAAGAAATCTGGAAATTTGGTCCCCAGGACAGTTTCCTAGATGAAACACTTTTCCTCCCAACCCTCTGTCTCCTTTCTGAGGGTGAGCAGTACAAAGGGGTGTGCTGCCGTCCCAGCTTTCCAGTAGCACCACGGATCCGAAGCCTGTCCTGAATGAGCACTAGGCTGATGCCTCTGCTTTGGGCTGAGTCTTTTTACCTTCTGGACAAGGAGGATGAGGTGAAAGGAGCTGTCCTTTTAAGTCTTTGTATCTCCATTTGCCTTGCAGTTTCTCCTTGGTCTTCTGCGTCTGTGTGTGCCAGTCGCTTGTGCCGACACAGGGCGTCCCTTAAAGTGGAGTCCTAGCGATTTCTGAATCTCTCTCTCTCCTTCTGCAGAGTTCCAGGATCCTTCTTATCACTCTTTCCCCCACAGTCTGGCTTAGTCCCTTTGTTTCCGGGCGTAAAAGCACTGGGATTAATATGTTTTCCAGGCTGAGGGAAAACACAGGAATGTGATGTTGAAAAAAGTCTTTTTTTCTTTTCCTATGCTCCTCTCCTCCTTTATTTCTCCCCACCTTTTTTCTTCCTTTTTCCTTCTCCTTCTCTTTCTTCTTCCTCTTGCCTGGACTCAGTCCCAGAAATGTCAGGACTACCTCAGTTTTGCTCCAAACCAAACTCAAACAACAGCAGCCACTGGAAATCAAGGAAACTTCACTAAGAATTTAACAGATCAGCAAAACACCGCCTCCTTCCCATTTCAGCACATTGAGAGTGAACTCGGTGAGGAGGGAGAGGACTGTTCTTTAGGGTGGGGGAAAGTTTTGAAACTCTACCCATCATCATAAATCACGTTAGAACAGGGTGACTGAGGACTTAACCCCTTCCATACCAAATAATCAGGGGACTTTCCTTTCCTGTCTGTTCTCACACTGTAATTTGGGAGGGGAAATTTCTCAGATTTCTGCATCTGGCTGTTTGGTTTTCTTACAGATACTCACTTGGGTCAGGGGGCTTGGCTGTGCATATATAGTCAGTATATATGTGTGTGTGTGTGTGTGTGTGTGTGTGTGTGTGTGTGTGTGTATTTCCATGAATATATTTTTATCTCTTTCTCCTTGCTTCGTGCTTTTAGTTTGAGGTTGGAAAAGCCCATGGAAAACATGACTAGGTTGTTTTTATTTTATGCTAATTGGAGATCATATTACTGGGTTCCTGGTCCTAGTTTCTCCTTGGCATGGAAGAAAGCTGGTAAAGGTTAGAAATGCAGGCAATGGCTGCTGTTACTCTGAGACTGAAGTTGGCCATTACATTAGGGAACAGGCATTATGATCTCCAGCTTCAGTGCCCTGGCTACAGATGGTAGACTAAGTGCTTCCTTGGAGGGCATGAGTCCAAGAGAGTGCATGTGTGTGTGTGTGTGTGTGTGCGCGCATGCGTATGTAGTGCAATTATTTTGTTCTCCAGAGGCTTTAGGTGTCTGAAGGGCTTTATGCAATCCTTAGAGATAGCCATATCAGGTTCCAAAGGAGAGAATGAAGCAGCTTTGGGCTTCCACCTCC